TCTCAACGCCATTAACGAACTATCAGATAGCTCGACCTCGTCTGGCTCGGATCCCCCTGCATCACAAAAGCACCGATTATTCTTCATCATAGCACTCCGGAATCTCTTTTGTTATTTGTCTTTGCTTGTTTGCTTATATATGCAATTTGGCGCAACACAAACAAGCTAGTGAGTTTTCACTGCCCTCTGGTTCAAATCATCTTTCTTTAAGTTACAGATCTCACTGTATATTGAGTGTTGCAGGTTCAGGTTTTGTCCAACACTTTAACGGTAATATTACTCGACGGAAGCGAGATTTTTCTAATGGGGATGATGCCGGAGGTGCGGAGACTGCCGGATCTGAGCGGCCATCGGATGTTAGTAGGCTGCCGAAGGTTAACGCTTTGGGAGGAAGGAGATGGGTTGAAAGAGATGCCGGAGGTTAACGCGAAATTGGGATTTTAAAGAGTGATTCAATTGCTAATAGAACACCGCCTACGATCATTATTTTAATACTGCCACGTCACTTTGTAACCCGATTTTGTCAACCTTCTTTGTACGTATAGCGCAGTTGTTGTAGAAATTGGGAAATTCAGCATCACCCACAGTGCCAAAAACAGTCAAATCGAAGTGATTTCGCTTAATATGCAGTTTCTTAATATCAAGTACATGCACACCCCAATCCTTAAGTCTGAAAAGTTGTTTCCTTGCTTATCAATTAGTCATAGAATCAATATTTGATCTACGAAAAGAAAGAAATAGGGTTGCTTGCTTTCTGAAATGAGCGATATGCTATTGTAGTTTCTGTAGCGTGTTGAGCTAATTAGACGTTTTACACCGTATTGGTATTGGATTGGAGATAATCCTGGCAACCATTTCGCACAAAGAGGAAGAAAGTTGAATAAACAAGGAAGCCCAATAAAATTTTCCCAGTAGAGACAGTATTGTCACATAATCAAACTTACAAGAAACTCAACTTATTCTTTTTTATCAAATTCAGGTTATCGTTGATTTTATAATAGAAGAATGCAGATCTTAACCAAGATTCAGTGTATGAATAGTGAGGAAACGTCTAAGATTTCTTGCAATGTACTGCTGATAAATTCACTGGAGAAACTATATTTCCACACTTAAATAGC